CTCTAGAATGATAGAATTAGCCATGAGTTCCAAATAAGGCTCAGTTTGCTTGTGACAGCTGTAATGTTTCGCCCTCCTCAGACAGTGGTGCTATACCATGAGTTTGTCATGACCAAAGTTTTCTTAAACCATTATAGTTATTACCTTCTGTGGACAAAACTAAGTGATGCTTAAAAAACCAAAGCCACGAACAACCCCCTTAGTATTAATGTGTCGGGTGCTTATGAATATCTGCTGCCCTGCACTGGTAAAGTGACTTAGCATTGCTGCTTAGCTGTCTACATACTTAATCTTCTTCAAAAAAGGTACAAGAAAGAATTTTGGAAAACATTTTGTGTGGTGGGAAGTTTGAAAGGATAGTTATGACCTGAGTTTGTGAGAGAGAAGTAAAATCAGCTGTAGACGAAGATTCCAGTTCACAGCAATTGTGTAATGACCGGTAATTCAAAAACAGGCCAATTTTATTTGACTTTTCCAGACAACTGCTCTTTGGCTTTCAGAGCAAACTTAGCAATTTTCAGATAAAATCAGTCTTGTTAGTCAAAGGCAAAGGTGGTGGCTAAAATTAGAGCTTAGTTTGCAGCTCTAACTATGAACAGGCTGCTGTCTATCTGTCCGTAATTACTCTAAGAAGAATTTGCCAACTTTCATAATAGTTTCTTTTGTGGAAGTATGTGATTTTTATAAACTTGTATAGCATGTTGGAGTTGCATTTGATGAAATTTTTATTAGGCTTCATTTGGCTTGTAGAATGGAGACTTGGAAATGTCTTGAGTTGAAAGGTAGTACCTCTGTGTAATGTCAGTTTAGGGCTAGCTATATCTAGGTCCTTGGCTGGCATGGCATATAGGAAACAGCCTTACTCAAAGTGTTGCCAGTGTTTGTTGTCGTCGTGCTTAGTCATGTACTATCTGCAAAGCTTTGGTGACCAGTCTTCTTCACTGGTTCTTCAGGATAAAATATTCTAGATGCTGATAGACTAATGAAGGCAGTATGTTAACATGTTACGATTTATATTCTATTTCCTTTCCTTGTACCATTACAAGTACACCACACAAAAGGAGAATAATGAGTAGAGTTGTCTTACAGGGTAGTTTTGCCGTGTTGTATCAGAAAGCACGTCCACGAAGCTTACAAAGGTCACGCTTGTCACAGAGCTGACTAGTGGCAGAAATTTCCTAGCTGTCATTGAGGGCAGGTAGTAAATGACATTTTAGTAATATATGGAAACGTACCTATATAAAAATGAAGATTCTGTTCCCCCATGAAGATGTTGAATAGAATGATGATGGTAATAACTTATCCCTTTAATTCTGCCTTATTTGTATTGGCTTTTTAACAAAACAAAAAAAAACCCCACACATAAGAGAGAGACATATACACATAAGAGAGGTTTAAGCATCCTTTCCCCTAGTTTTTATCAACTTCCACTATCTATAGAACATTGGGGAATAGGTTTTTGGAGTTTGCATTCTGTCAGTTGGGCATAATACATGGGGGGAAAAAAAAACAAGAGGAGAAATAAAAGAGAAGGAGGTCTAACCACGAGTTGCATAACCTGCAGGGGACAATGAAGTTCCCTTTCTAAAATGTAAGGTATTAAGGTACCAAGTATAATCATTATAACTGAATAAATAAAGTGACGTATTTGTAGGAAACAGCAAAACAAAAGAATTCATTTGAACTGGGAAGATACGGAAGATACGTAAAGAGTAAAGAGGAGAAATGGATTGGAAGAAATCTTCTGAAGCCTTATCTGCAGACTATGAAGTATTTGACTAAAGAGCTGCTTTTGCCATACCTGGCTCCATGCTATTGGTTGACTTAGTTCCTTTAGTTTTAAGGGAAAGTATGAATAGAATTATGTGGGGAAAATTGTGAGAATTGTAGGATTGAGTGAAGAGGAGAGAAATAATTGTTGAGGTGTCTGTAGGTGTGCAGGATGTAGAGAGTTTTTTGTACTGAGAAGTGCAAGGTGCACCTATTTCTCTTCTTAGAGATGCCCCTGGAGGAAAAATGAAACATTGGACGCAGAGCCCGGAGTGGTATTTTGCTTTCATATGAGTACTGGAAGAATGACTTTGGTTTTAGGTTGTGAAGTAACTTTTAACATAAGACACCAGAAAGAAAAGGATGGCCAGTGATGTGACAGAACCTAGAGTGTTAAACTAGCATATCCTGCTGTTGGTTTTAAAGCTGGGTGATATACAGTGTTCCTCTCAAACCTTTTCATACTCGTGTCTTCAGGCCTCCTTCAGAAGCCTACCAGATAAATAGTTGCAGTAGTACAGCCTAAATGAAACAATAGTGTTTATTTTGGCCAAAAATTAAGAAGTTCCATAAAAGGGAAGATAATAAAATTGTCAAAGAATGAAGTGGTCACTGGCAGAATGGTACTCTCCTCCATCCCTTTGTTAGCTTGAAAAGTTAAAGTATAAGGGTTTATTTCAATTAGCAGCTTAGTGGTAGTTACAGTTCAAAGGAATGTTTGTATTTGGAAGTTACAGTTCAAAGGAACGTTTGTTTGTATTGGGTTGGCATTCACATGCAGGAATGGGAAGAAAATTTCTGCCTTGTCTTTGTTAGCTGTCAGTTCAATGTTGATAGTATGGATGTGCTGTGGTACCACCAGCACACTTGCTAACACTGCTTCAGGCAGGTCCTTCCCTGGCCTTTATTTGCTGTTTGCTTATTCTGTTGTTTGATACAAGTCATCCATCACTACACACGTGCCTGCTTTTAACGGTCACTTCCTGCAGTCGTGTGCTTTTGATGCTGCACCTGTGTTCAACCAGCTCAACACAGGCTCTCATTTGAAAGGGATCCCAAAGATAACACTGCTGTCCTCTTACTATGCCTCTGGCTGCCTCCGCTCAGCCACTATTAAACTGGCACTTGCTTTGTGAAGTGCTTGGCTTGTTACAGCATTTGTGTCCGGACTCTTCTGATGAAGCAAGCGGATTATCTCCCAGTGCACTCCAGCAGCATGTATGAAAGAGTGACGTTTACTGAAGGGTCTGCGAACCATGGAGATGTACCTCAGAGTTCTCAATGGGACACGTGAATGACTAGAAAACCAAGTTTTAAACAAGTATTAGGAAAACCTATTCAGTACACACAGTTGTTTCCCTGCAGTTGGGATCACCTTCCGTTCTTGCAATCTTTTTCAAGTGTAGCTCACTCATGCTAAATATATAGCAGGGAACATCTTGTGTTAAGTAGAGATATGAACCCAAACAGAAGAAGAGGTCAAGCGTGGAAATAAATTCCAGTCAGTACTGAATGATTGAGAAGTCCCTTTTCTCTCGCTCCCTCTTGTTTGGAGAGGTGGTGCTTGAATTCACTTCAGAAATGAGAAGAAAAGTAGAGATAGCTTTTTTTTTTTTTTTTTTTTTTTTTTTTTTTTTAAAAAAAAACCATTTTTAAAGAAAAACCCCTTACTGTTTAAATTCACCTTAACATCTGGAAGCAAGTGGCTCAAGCCTGTAGTCACTTGCATCATCACATTATCTTTTCTTGATCAGAATGTGGAATATTAAATGTTGTGATGTCCACATTACACTTGATTTTTTATCTAAGTGCTCTTGAATTATATGTCTTGGTATTTGTGTGTTAAACAAATGATTTGAAATGGCTTAATCCAGCCTCATAGTTCATTTAGTACACCTGGTTCTGTGGACCACTCTTGGAAAAGAAGATTGATTCCTCCACAGACCAAAGCCTTTTCCCAGTTCTCTGGTCCTTCAGTGTACCTTGTGGTGACAGCTGCAAGCATGTTCTGGTTATCAGTGAGTGGTTCAGAGATGTAACCTGGCTGTAAAGTGCCCCTTTCAGTGCCCATAGCTCCACAGTAAGCTTTGTTTAGCTATATTGTGTATGTTTGTGGAAGGGATTAGTAATAGGTTTTTTTTGTTTTTTCTTGGAAGTCATTGGAAAGCAAAAGAGTAAATTATTTTGATTTCACTCGGGATAGATTAGTGGGTGTCAAATGTTACACAATACTTGACATACCCACTGCTGTTAAGCTGGCCGTGGCAAAGGGATTACCCGATAATGAATCACCAAGCTCTTCCTTCAGCCATTTAAAGGGAATCATGCCTCTTCCTTGCCCTGGTGGTACTCTCTTTCCTGCCCGGGACCTTCCTGTGACAGTTCGTGTTTGGAGATGGAAAACTCCACTCAGATGTGCAAGCACCGGTTTGACAGCTTTGTGTTCAGCTTCTACCTTGCTAATTGTTTTCGTGGATTATTTGGATTGTGTAGAAAGCTTTTTCCAAATCCCCTTTATTACTGAAGTTATTGTTGCCAGCAGGCATAAGATTAAAGGTGCTTAAGTCTGTAGAGTTGTTTCTAATTTGTACGTGTCATTTCAGTGGCATTTGAACAGAACTCTGTCTCTTCCCCTCCCTGCTCCCCTGTGGTACTGTGCTTGAGCTAGGGCTGAGAAGCCAAGCCATTGGAAGAAAATTCATTTTGTTCCCTAATTATTATGCTGGCACTCGGGAGATAATTTTTCCCTTCATGCACTGCCAATTAATATGCAAATGAGCTGATAAATATTTATACCGTGATTTAAATTATGCAGGGAGCGCTTTCAGTGTACTCTGCAAATGAATTGTTCATGGACTTCAAAGTGCTGGCTGCTGTGCTAACGAGAGGAGATTTGCATAAGGCCCTAATCAGGCGCATACTGATTAAGCTTCATTATGGAAACTGCCAGCTGCAATCTTTGTTTCTATTTTATTACAAAAAGGGGAACTTTTCACGCTTCAGTCGCCTTGACAATGTCAGACACAGCTAGTAGGAGAGACTAAAACTCCACAGAGCAACTGAAGTTTCCCTGTTCAGTTGAAGATTGCTATGGTGTAACTGAAGTTGTATTTCTTCCCCCACCTCCCCACTCCCTTTCGTGTTCAGTCGAGAGCAGTAGTGTAGATTTGATAGAAATTGCCATTCTCCCTTTCCTTGGACTATCTGAACCTGTAGAGGATACCACAGCAATGCTGGACTGCAGTGACTACGTTCTAGGTGGGTACCAGCTCAGCTCTTTCTTACGAGTGTTTAATATGGACATAGGGGCTGTGAGGTTGACTATGCATAGAGGCTTAATTGCATATGCAGAGGTGAGAGGAAGTATTTGTAAGGCTGAGGCTCACCAGTGAATCGGCAGCAAGTAGCTGCCTGGTAGATAGATGGATAGATCTGTACCAGGGAAATACATGGTCTGGTTGTTTGGGTTTTTTTTTCCTTCTTTCCCTCACTCCAGGAGAATTTGTTTCCTCTGCACTGGAGAGATTTGCTGCTAGGCTTGGATGATGTTATACAGACCTTTTGCTTTTAGGATTTCAGTCTGAGAAGCATTTGGCTTCTGACAAACACTGGACTTGACTTGCATATCTGTGTTATGAATTCTAAAGTATTAAAATAAATGAGAGAGTCTCCCAGTCTTAAAGAATTCAGTAGCTGTATTGAGCCATTCCCCAACAGAATGTATATTATGTCTGTGTATTTCTAATGTAATAGCAAGGTTCTTCGTGCGTAATAGAAAACAAGGTGGAGTGCACGGTGGTTGCCATTGATACCGTTGCAAGCTATGCCTAAGGTTACTGGGATAATGTATTTCCTGCACTCAGATTCCATCAGGACTGCAGAACAGACATGCTGTAATTTCTTCTTCATGTCTTTTAAAGTTATTTATGATAACAGATCATCCTAATTTGACAATAGATTTTATTTCTTTTCAAGGCTCTTTCCCCAAAGCTCAATGTATAGTATTTTTTTCATATTATTTTGATTCCATTTTATAAGTTCATGTAGTAACTTATATATCCACATAAAAGAATATATTTTTGGATGGTAAATTTTGGAGCAGACATCTGAATAGTTGTTTCTGAATATGAAGTGTTTTTTTGAAAATGAATTTCGGAAGAATTCGTGGCATGTTTTCACTCACATTGAACTTTGGGTGTTTTTTTCCATACACATCAATGAATCATTTTTGCTGGTGCTGATGGAGTATTGGGCAGTTTCGCTTTAATGGGTGAAAGGAAAAAGTTAATGACATGTTCCACATTAAGATTTTCTGTGTTTTGCTAGCTGTGTGTAGTCCCTAATACTCCAGGTTGGTCCGGTGTCTGCTATGCCCTTCTTCTGAATACCTTTTGCAGTGTTACTGGGGGTGTGTGAAAGCTTGGCACAGCACTGCCTCGCGACACCCTCAGCCCCACTAGCAGAGTAGGAGCACTGAATGTATTCACTCCTGAGAGTTTGATTTCAATCATGCACCTGCTGCTTTCAATCCTTCCTTCTGTGGAGTTTGTTTTTAGATAATTTTGGCAGAAGTCGTAGCCCAGGGCCTTTTATTAAAACCTGAGTAAAATCTAAAGGAAAAAGAAAAGGTGAGGGCATTATGGTTGGGATTTTTTAGCCCACTTCATTCGTTATTCTTTTAACTCTAAAGCAGAAATTGCATGAGCATGTGTAAACCAAATAATCTTTTCATTTGATGTGTAATGAATCCGTAAGTTCAGTATCCTGCGGATATATGTCTGTTTTGCTGGTAGCAGTTTTGTGCTTCAGATGTATGCCATACCATTTGCAATGGAAATGGCTGCATTGTTCTTGGTGCTTTACATGCAGAAGGCCCACAGATTGAACAAGACATAGTCAGCTGGTGAAATAATGGATGCTATCCTTCATTTGAACCTGGTGTTTCTTCACTCAACTTGCTGCTTTTTTGCAATTGCAATGTTTGAGGCCTTTGTTAGAAATGAACCTTTACAATAAAATATTCTTCATTTAGACATGCTTTTGGTAGTTGAGTAAACTTCATGTGTATGTCTAATACTAGGAAACACTGAAAACCTTTTTTAAAAAAGATTTAATTTGCAGCATAGCCTGACAGAAAAACATGTCTTGGTTCATTTATGAAAAGAGATCTGTACAGTTATAATTTTGTCCTTGAGCAAACTTGCTGGTCTTGCAGGAAAGTTTGTTGTAGGAGCCTCCTCATACAGAGAATAGTCACTGTGGTGTTTGGAGTTCTGTGCACAGGACAGTTGTGTCCCCTTCCGGGGGTTTGTTTACCGTTAGTATCCTGCATGGTGGTTCCAATGCTTTAATTTCTGTAACAAACTAGTACAAGAGGTCCTGTGTTGTTTTTCTTGCAAGAGCTTTCTGAAGTGGTTTGATGCATGGATCCCATGTTATTGAGAGAGATGACCTTCTCAGCCTGTGCTCTTCCCTTTTGTGGTCAGTGCTGTCATGAGTTCAGGCTAACCTTATGCTCTGGGTTTAAAAAATACATCCTGTCTCTAATAGCCCTATGAGTTAACCCAGTTTCCACAACCAAATATACTGGCCTTCTAAGCCCTCTTTGCTCATATTCATTCCTGTTGGATGAGGACCCTTTGTGTTTGCGTCTAAATGGAACTCTCCCATTCAGTGTTCTCTGAACCTAAACTGATTTCAGTAGCCAGCTGTGGGTCAAGGAATGAACTAATGCTGTTTATCAAATGGATGTTGCCTATAATCACTTTTAAATAAGTGTGCTGTTGCCACAACAATAAACTCAATTTAAGGCACATGCAACTTCTAGATAGAAACATACTTTGTATGTTTTAAACACAGATCTATCAGCATGAATGGACACATCAACAACAAAAGCTTCTGTGCAGTCAGTGGAACCCGTGTTCTGTTTCTGGGTTGTGGATCATGATATCTAAATGTGGAAAATAACAAAATAAGGAGCTGGGAAGCAATAGGTTCTGTATCTCCAACATTAGCAGAGCTCTATCTTTTAAGACTCTGAACATATAGCTTGAATCTGCTAAGCAGAGGTGGTGAAAAAGCTTTTTGCTGAAGTGTGAGCCAGCAGTGCTGAGCTGGAAAGTATCTTCTCGCTCATTTTCTCTTTCCAAAATCAGTTTAACACATTTGCCTGTATGCTAACAGTAACGTTGTTAGTTCAGATCTCTCTTATATGTGGCTGACTTTTGAAAGATTTAGGCATGGGAACGTTCTGCGTTCAACTGCAGCAGTTGTTTACGTGGAAGTTTACATTCATTTTAAAAATATTGATGTTTCTTAACTTGTATTTCCTAACTGCTTATTGGAGTTTTTCCAAGTTGGATGTCTCTTATCTTTTCTCTCACACATGCTGCCTTTGCAATTAGTTCCCTCCTCTTCCCACTCCACACTCCCAGCGAGGCTTCCTCTTGACTCCTGTTTTCATTCACGCCCCATCCACGTGCTTCATTCCTCCTGGCTGGTGCTTGTGTTCCTCTGCTGCTGTCACCCCTGGTTCCATTAGCCTGGAGGTGGCACTGGTCTCTCTGGGCAGTAGCAGGTGATAGTATACAGCAACAGTCTGGCTTCTCATTTCCAAGTCTCACAGACTGCCAAGCAGAGAAGTGGCTGAGCATTCTTGGAAATACCTGAGGGAAAGATGCAGTTGATGCTGTTACTGTATTCTTCAGCCCGTTGGTATTTTGGTAATCGCTGCTTTGATGAAAGTACATGACAGAGGTAACCTTTTAAGCACCTAGCAAGAGAATATCCCGAGTAAAGCATTCACTGAAGTTGCATTTAACTGGTTGTGGGAATGGAAGAATATGCTTAAGGATTTGCTTACACTTCATTTTATGAACTGTCTTGAGATTCTTTCTGTAGTTTTCGTTTCTGATAATGTAGCACACTGAGGTCAGTAGCAAGATAAGAGGAGGTAATAAGCTGGAGACCTGTCACTGTACACAGAACATCTGTATAGATTCCTGTATAAGGAAACTGTATTCTCTGTCTGCCATCTGGAGAGGCCCTCTGCATTGCACTATGTTTAGCTGACAAGCTGAAACCAAGAGCAGACTTTTCAATAGGTTTCATCCAGAGGGAGAAGGAAGAGGAATTGTTTTATGTTTGTATGGCTTTGCATGAATATATAGGAAATATAAAATCACTTAATATCAGTGATTTTA